TTAATGTTGAATATTATTTATTGATTGTAATTTGTATTATATCATGGGTTTGTACTAAGAAATAATGTATATATATATATATATATATATGTTTATCACATTTGTAGAAAGGATCCAAATCACTTATTACAATTTTGTTAAAGGTCCAGAAAAGTTTAGGAGAGGGTCAAGACATTGTGCCCTCCAGTACTCATTTCTAAAGTCTTACCAGTCCGTTTTCTTCAAATCTCGGAACAAAAAGAGTTCCTGTTGTTATTTCGGTTTTGCATAATTTATACTCCTGAAGGAACATCCAACAGATGCTGATGGATGATTGGACACGACTAGATTATTCCAGCTGAACCAGTGATTTTCCTTTTAATTTTGTTATTATTCAGAATTGGGATTCTAGTTTTATACGAAGTACGTCTTGTATTGTGTGTTAGAATATGCTGAGGATATGGTCAATTACAATGTTAATAAAAACAACCTTTGGCCACTGCTGAAATAGAACAGATAAATCCTACATTTTGCTAGGTGACAGTGCAGAACAATCCACACACATGTACGCTTACAGTACTGAACTAATGTCAATTTATCCAAACAACAGGACAGATAAATAAATCTTCAATTGTATCGATGATAAAACTTGTCTTCCAGTTAGTATTACATATACCTTTAAAATCTTTGAAACGTGTAAGTGGTTTGAAATTTTTAATTTTTCTACTGTAATGAAACTACTGATATCTAATTACAAATAACCTGCTACTTCAGTGTTATTCCTAAATTTTACAGTTTAATAGACCTGTGTCCTTGTATCAGAATTAATGTAACACAGTGGAAATTTTGAGGGACACCACTGAGATGTACTACTTTTCACATTGAATAGGACTGTGTTAGCACTAGTTTTCACATTGAATAGGACTGTGTTAGCACTAGTTTTCTAGTTACTCAACACTTTATTAGCCAAGTTATTTTTATACAATTCTACAACACAGTTTAAGTTTCCAAAGCAAAATGTTATGTAATCTGCAGAGAAGTGGCACATTAGACATGTGTTAGTTAGTTGTACTTAACCTGGAATATCATGGGTGGGCACATTGATATTAAAGTTGTAAGAAATAGTTTGGAGGTCCGCTTGGGCTATATCAGTACAGTAACTTTGTATGTACTGCATAACTTAGCAGTAATGTAAGTGCTTTTATCCCTTACTTACTCTTTTTTATGCTTAAAACAATGAGCCAAAAACAACACAAAGAAATGTAAAAATAGTAATAAATTAGCCATAATCAATGTGACCTGGTTCCTCAGTTGCTTGCCATGGATACTAGGATTGCTGCTGTGATAAACACATTTTTTATCTTGCCTTGTATCCAGAAGAAGTCATGCTAGTGGTCCTTTGGCTTGTCAGATTTGGAATGAACATTGTCGTGTTTGCTATTTAAAATGTGTGTCAGAAAGACTTGTTAGGTAAAACATAGGCCTACTTGTGGCATTTTGCTTTTGACAGGTCAAAATAGTATACACCCTATTGAGTCTGTAATATACTAATTCTAAAGGAACACACACTTGAAAAATGCAGGATTTCCATGATCCACAATCTTGTGTTTTTATTAAAACACTTAGAATGTCTATTAGTTATTCTTAAATTTTAGGTCATTTAAACATGATGGTCTTATGTTTTGAAAGCCCGAGACCATAAATAAGTACTTGTAACAATGTTTATACCCTCCAGTGAATCTGAATAATTTGTTTGCTAATGAAAAGATGTAATTTTATAAAATCATTAGCTCTTGTATATGTTTCCTGTTTAAATGAAAGAATTGGTTAATATTTTATTACTGATCATGTAGGTAATTAAATTCAATCAAAAATCAAGCTTTATTCACTGTAATTTCGTATTGTCATCCACAGTGCTTCTAAATGTAGACACAGTTCAAGAAATGATGATTCTTCTGAGCCAGTTTAACTCATCTTTCTTTAAATATATTGTGATCAGTGTGACTGTTTTTGTGTGTGCATATTTTATCTGTGAATAATAATAACATTATTTTATTGCTCTGTCAAAACGAAATAAAGTTATATACCATTTGTATTTATGACTCAAATTTTAAAAGTTTATTAGGCAAACTTATATAGCATCACAACTTTATAGAGAAGTATAAAATTAGTATTAAAGAGTAAAAAAAAATTACTGATTACATGAAACTGTGTATGGACATTCTTTTATGTGTATGTTATAAGAATGTTTTCTTATTGTTAGGGATTAATGTGTGTGTGTTTATATTTTTTAAATTTTAACAACAGACATTGGCTACAACTGTCGTCCAAGTGTTTCTGACTGAACCTCCTCTTCATTCTCGATGGTCTAAGCACTACTGTGGTGTGGTCTGTTTTGTAAAAGATAATTCCAAAAGATCATACTTCATCAGGGTGTTTGATATGGATGTAAGTAAAGACACCAGTGTTTTTATTAGTTACCATGGAGTTGTTTGTTTTGTAAAAGATAATTTTAAAAGATGATATTTCATCAGGGTGTTTGATATGGATGTAAGTAAAGACACCAGTGTTTTTATTAGTTACCATGGAGTTGTTTATTTTGTAAAAGATGATTTCAAAAGATGATGTTTCATCAGGGTGTTTGATATGGATGTAAGTAAAGACACCAGTGTTTTTATTAGTTACCATGGAGTTGTTTATTTTGTAAAAGATGATTTCA